GCCGACAGTATATCAGGCTTACATTCTTCTGCCATTAAAATGGCTTCCAGCAGATGGATGTCTGCCCAGCTTAGTTTGTTGCCAACAAGATAATCATGCCCATGGTCTTTTAAGGCCTACAAAATACGAACAAAAATAAAAGTTATATAGGATGTAACGACTTCATCTAGACATGTCACTACAGACAGATTTCTGTGGAGATACACAGCAGAGGTAATTCATGCAAGAATCTGTAAAGTTAGAAAGTGACAGGTATTCTCACAACAAAAAACTAAATCAGAACTCACGTTTCAGTGGGGCATGGACGTATCACTCACTCTAACCTACTGCACCAGCTAGCTGTAACAAGTCCAGTCCCTCAAGAAAGACTTAAAACATAGAAAAGAGACAGGACCAAAGTAAGATAGTCAGGATAGTTTACCTGTAGTGTAAGTCAAGTGAATTCCCAGCTGTTTAAGCAAAATTTGAGATTGCTGATAATAGTTTGAAACAGGTCAGGAATGAAGGAACATCCTGTATGGAAGGATTCATTCATGGCAAACTGCTGATGCAAGAATCACAGCCGGCCAACACTACTAACAGCTGTAATAGACAAGTTGTGGTGAATGATGCAGCATGGCTTCACAGCAGTTACCAGCTCTCTGGCCTACCTTCTTCCTGAAGACTACCACCCTCGTAGCAGAAGGGGGAGAAGGAAATGTGTCTGTGTCCAATATCTAATGCTACACTTAAACAACTAACAAATGTGCACTGAACTAGGACATCAGTCTGTGACTGTGGAAGCCGATTCCTTCTCCAGTCCCATCTGCCAATTTTACTATGAAAGAGGAAGTAACCTCTGACAGAGGCAAGGCTGATACCTTCATGTGGGTATTTCCTACGCTGCTCTAACAAGGTCCACTACAGCTTGCCTATCGAAGCCACATGGAAACTCCCAAATGGAGCATCGGAACCAGATTGCCTGCAGTGCTTTAGATCACCTTTTGCTGCACTATCTGGCTGCTGGGTGTTTAAAGTGAACATTCATAGCCAGGGATATTTTCTGTCTGATATTGTGATTGCATAACATATCAACTGCAAACCCTGCTACACCGAATCAATGGACAACTTAAACAGCTGGTACAGAAGGAAAATTAATAATCATTCTAACAAAATTAACCAGGCTAAAAATCATGGAAAAGTTTAGCTCTTTCTTTACCG